TCAGTATGTAGTGTCTCTACTTTAAAGAGTCCTCTCCTGCTGATGCTCAGGTGTATATCAGTATGTAGTGTCTCTACTTTAAAGAGTCCTCTCCTGCTGATGCTCAGGTGTATATCAGTATGTAGTGTCTCTACTTTAAAGAGTCCTCTCCTGCTGATGTTCAGGTGTATATCAGTATGTAGTGTCTCTACTTTAAAGAGTCCTCTCCTGCTGATGTTCAGGTGTATATCAGTATGTAGTGTCTCTACTTTAAAGAGTCCTCTCCTGCTGATGTTCAGGTGTATATCAGTATGTAGTGTCTCTACTTTAAAGAGTTCTCTCCTGCTGATGTTCAGGTGTATATCAGTATGTAGTGTCTCTACTTTAAAGAGTCCTCTCCTGCTGATGTTCAGGTGTATATCAGTATGTAGTGTCTCTACTTTAAAGAGTCCTCTCCTGCTGATGTTCAGGTGTATATCAGTATGTAGTGTCTCTACTTTAAAGAGTCCTCTCCTGCTGATGTTCAGGTGTATATCAGTATGTAGTGTCTCTACTTTAAAGAGTCCTCTCCTGCTGATGCTCAGGTGTATATCAGTATGTAGTGTCTCTACTTTAAAGAGTCCTCTCCTGCTGATGTTCAGGTGTATATCAGTATGTAGTGTCTCTACTTTAAAGAGTCCTCTCCTGCTGATGTTCAGGTGTATATCAGTATGTAGTGTCTCTACTTTAAAGAGTTCTCTCCTGCTGATGTTCAGGTGTATATCAGTAGTGCCTCTACTTTAAAGAGTCCTCTCCTGCTGATGTTCAGGTGTGTCTCTACTTTAAAGAGTCCTCTCCTGCTGATGTTCAGGTGTGTCTCTACTTTAAAGAGTCCTCTCCTGCTGATGTTCAGGTGTGTCTCTACTTTAAAGAGTCCTCTCCTGCTGATGTTCAGGTGTGTCTCTACTTTAAAGAGTTCTCTCCTGCTGATGTTCAGGTGTATATCAGTAGTGCCTCTACTTTAAAGAGTCCTCTCCTGCTGATGTTCAGGTGTGTCTCTACTTTAAAGAGTCCTCTCCTGCTGATGTTCAGGTGTGTCTCTACTTTAAAGAGTCCTCTCCTGCTGATGTTCAGGTGTGTCTCTACTTTAAAGAGTCCTCTCCTGCTGATGTTCAGGTGTGTCTCTACTTTAAAGAGTCCTCTCCTGCTGATGTTCAGGTGTATATCAGTATGTAGTGCCTCTACTTTAAAGAGTCCTCTCCTGCTGATGTCCAGGTGTATATCAGTATGTAGTGTCTCTACTTTAAAGAGTCCTCTCCTGCTGATGTTCAGGTGTATATCAGTATGTAGTGTCTCTACTTTAAAGAGTCCTCTCCTGCTGATGTTCAGGTGTATATCAGTATGTAGTGTCTCTACTTTAAAGAGTCCTCTCCTGCTGATGTTCAGGTGTATATCAGTATGTAGTGTCTCTACTTTAAAGAGTTCTCTCCTGCTGATGTTCAGGTGTATATCAGTATGTAGTGTCTCTACTTTAAAGAGTCCTCTCCTGCTGATGTTCAGGTGTATATCAGTATGTAGTGTCTCTACTTTAAAGAGTCCTCTCCTGCTGATGTTCAGGTGTATATCAGTATGTAGTGTCTCTACTTTAAAGAGTCCTCTCCTGCTGATGTTCAGGTGTATATCAGTATGTAGTGTCTCTACTTTAAAGAGTTCTCTCCTGCTGATGTTCAGGTGTATATCAGTATGTAGTGTCTCTACTTTAAAGAGTCCTCTCCTGCTGATGTTCAGGTGTATATCAGTATGTAGTGTCTCTACTTTAAAGAGTCCTCTCCTGCTGATGTTCAGGTGTATATCAGTATGTAGTGTCTCTACTTTAAAGAGTTCTCTCCTGCTGATGTTCAGGTGTATATCAGTATGTAGTGTCTCTACTTTAAAGAGTCCTCTCCTGCTGATGTTCAGGTGTATATCAGTATGTAGTGCCTCTACTTTAAAGAGTCCTCTCCTGCTGATGTTCAGGTGTATATCAGTATGTAGTGTCTCTACTTTAAAGAGTCCTCTCCTGCTGATGTTCAGGTGTATATCAGTATGTAGTGTCTCTACTTTAAAGAGTCCTCTCCTGCTGATGCTCAGGTGTATATCAGTATGTAGTGTCTCTACTTTAAAGAGTCCTCTCCTGCTGATGTTCAGGTGTATATCAGTATGTAGTGTCTCTACTTTAAAGAGTCCTCTCCTGCTGATGTTCAGGTGTATATCAGTATGTAGTGTCTCTACTTTAAAGAGTTCTCTCCTGCTGATGTTCAGGTGTGTCTCTACTTTAAAGAGTCCTCTCCTGCTGATGTTCAGGTGTGTCTCTACTTTAAAGAGTCCTCTCCTGCTGATGTTCAGGTGTGTCTCTACTTTAAAGAGTCCTCTCCTGCTGATGTTCAGGTGTGTCTCTACTTTAAAGAGTCCTCTCCTGCTGATGTTCAGGTGTGTCTCTACTTTAAAGAGTTCTCTCCTGCTGATGTTCAGGTGTATATCAGTAGTGCCTCTACTTTAAAGAGTCCTCTCCTGCTGATGTTCAGGTGTGTCTCTACTTTAAAGAGTCCTCTCCTGCTGATGTTCAGGTGTGTCTCTACTTTAAAGAGTCCTCTCCTGCTGATGTTCAGGTGTGTCTCTACTTTAAAGAGTCCTCTCCTGCTGATGTTCAGGTGTGTCTCTACTTTAAAGAGTCCTCTCCTGCTGATGTTCAGGTGTATATCAGTATGTAGTGCCTCTACTTTAAAGAGTCCTCTCCTGCTGATGTCCAGGTGTATATCAGTATGTAGTGTCTCTACTTTAAAGAGTTCTCTCCTGCTGATGTTCAGGTGTATATCAGTATGTAGTGTCTCTACTTTAAAGAGTCCTCTCCTGCTGATGTTCAGGTGTATATCAGTATGTAGTGTCTCTACTTTAAAGAGTCCTCTCCTGCTGATGTTCAGGTGTATATCAGTATGTAGTGTCTCTACTTTAAAGAGTTCTCTCCTGCTGATGTTCAGGTGTATATCAGTATGTAGTGTCTCTACTTTAAAGAGTCCTCTCCTGCTGATGTTCAGGTGTATATCAGTATGTAGTGTCTCTACTTTAAAGAGTTCTCTCCTGCTGATGTTCAGGTGTATATCAGTATGTAGTGTCTCTACTTTAAAGAGTTCTCTCCTGTTGATGTTCAGGTGTATATCAGTATGTAGTGTCTCTACTTTAAAGAGTCCTCTCCTGCTGATGTTCAGGTGTATATCAGTATGTAGTGTCTCTACTTTAAAGAGTTCTCTCCTGCTGATGTTCAGGTGTACAAACAGACAGAATCTCACAGGAATGAACTCATGGAGATTTAATATTATGCATCAATAGGAACATCTCTTACAATCAATGGTTATGGTCAAAAAGAAATCAGAACACATGATTGCTCTCTACCAGGCGAGTGACACTGACATGTATGGCAAGGCCTCGATTCAATATAATAAACATAGACAGAAAACATGGAGGGAAAGTAAACAAACGAAGCTTCGACAGGGATCTTTATTTGGCTGGTTTCTAAAAAGTCGTTCGATGAGAGGATCCATTTACTCTCTGACACACGTTACTCCGTCTGATTTTAAGGGTTTTAATAATCATTTAAATCACATTCACTCACGCCTAATATCCAGAACAGACGATCCGGGATGTTCTTGTGCATTTTCAGGTAAAAGCAAGTTTCTTTATTTCTGCATGTCATCTAATCATCATTGCATTTCGAGCCAACCTCTGAGCGTTAGGAGGACACATATCGACCTCCTTAACTGTTGAGAAAACAAGGAAACTGAAAGACAGAAATATGTAAACAATCATTTGTTCATAAATGCCTTCAGGAACCATGATGATCTGTGTCTGAACGCAAGTCCCTTTAGCCTTCTGGCATCACGGACCCCCTAAATGACCCCCTGTATTGCATATGTCCCCCGTTCAGATGCTATGGCTTACTCTGCTTCTGGAAAACAAAACAACGTGGGAGATAAAACATAAAAATGGAATGATCCCTAAAGCCGTCACATCCTCAGATATTTGTACACTATTGCCAGAAAGAATATATATCTATATATCCGTCGTATGTATTTCTATAATATAAACACAGCTAGTTGCAGGCAGGCGGGGGGGTTTTTAACGCCCCCCCCCCCCTGCCCATTTAAGATGTACACCGTTATATATAAGGCCGTCAGACTCTCAGGGGGCAGCCTTCTCGTTTCCTCAGTCGTTCCCTGAGATGTAGAGCGCAGTTTTTTTAACTGGTCAAGGTTCGTTTTTTTGTATTCACCGCCAACCCCACACACACCTTGCCCCCCCCCCCCCCCTCCATTCATAAAAACCCAGGTTTGTGCAGGGACTCTGCGGAGAGGTGAGGGTGTGGGGGGTGAAGAGAGACAGCATCCCTCAGGTTGGCGTTTTGATGGAGGTGGTGCAGGAACAGGAAGTGACCAAATAAGGAGAGGAGCTGTTTTTCCAGTCGTCTCATTGGTTGTTGTTGTTGTTGTTTTTCAGTCAAATGCAAAGCTGTCTTCAATCGTCAGTCATTCCAAGGCTGGGAGAAGTGTTTTTTTTGCAAAAGAGTTCTTATGAAGACTCTGCCGTGTGTGTGTGTGCACATGTACGGTGTGTGTGTGTATGTGTGTGTCAGTGTGTGTGTGTGTGTGGTCTCAGTGTGTGTGTGTGGTCTCAGTGTGTGTGTGTGTGGTCTCAGTGTGTGTGTGTGTGTGTGTGGTCTCAGTGTGTGTGTGTGTGGTCTCAGTGTGTGTGTGTGTGTGTGGTCTCAGTGTGTGTGTGTGTGTGTGGTCTCAGTGTGTGTGTGTGGTCTCAGTGTGTGTGTGTGGTCTCAGTGTGTGTGTGTGGTCTCAGTGTGTGTGTGTGTGTGGTCTCAGTGTGTGTGTGTGTGGTCTCAGTGTGTGTGTGTGTGTGTGTGGTCTCAGTGTGTGTGTGTGTGTGTGGTCTCAGTGTGTGTGTGTGTGGTCTCAGTGTGTGTGTGTGTGTGTGGTCTCAGTGTGTGTGTGTGTGTGGTCTCAGTGTGTGTGTGTGTGTGGTCTCAGTGTGTGTGTGTGTCTCAGTGTGTGTGTGTGTGTGGTCTCAGTGCCCCCCCTGGGAGTTATATCTCTTGAGTAGCGGCTCGTCGTACACCCAGACCTCTCCGTCCTCGTGGAATAACTGCAGAGACACAAGAAACACCAGGTTTTAGAGTCAAATATTGGGAAAAACGTGACATTAAACTGCAAAATATTCGTATACATGTCTGTGTGTACGAGTGAGATGGAGACGTTTGATCCGTCTGAATTACATGTCCTTTTATTTGACAACAATAACGAGCATTATGTCGAATGAGTGACCCGAAAAGAGCTCGTTAATCAGATTCAGTCACTTTACATAAAAAACAACAAGATATTATTTTATTTGAAACTCTTCAATTTACGGTTTGTTTTGGGATATTATGATTATTATGATTACACAATAATTACACGGCCTTTCTGGCAGATTATACAATAGATGTTTCTAATAACGTGTTACAGACTTTATTTAATGAAAAAGAAACAATGATTGAATCAGACATTTTAATAATAACATTTAACGCATTTATTTAACTTATTAATTGAATACCTTTGGAGACATTATTGATTAAAGACAATTCAATATCAAATCAGACCCTGATTTTAAGGAATTGATTGCCTTTCAAGACTTTTTTTTAAAAGAGAGTTTACAAGATCACAAAGAACTGGTACCCTAAAAACTACAGAATACAAACTACAACTCCCATGTGTTTGCATTTCAGATTGTTTTAAGTCATTTTAATACCTTTTAAAAAAAAAAAATTATTATTAATTTGATGCCTTTAAGATTTTTGAAATATCGACACAGTTAAACAAAAATAAGACCCTAATTTAACTGAATTGATTGCCTTTCAAGAATATATTGTTTTAGAGATTTTACAGCAAAGAACGACTGAAATAAAATCCAACTTAGCATTTTGTGCCACCAATACCATTTCCTCCAGATGATGTAACGGCTTCAAAGACTCTGCAGGAACCTTGTTCCTAGATGCATGTCAACGTGTATCTATAATAATCTAATCTCAGCAGTTACTCCTCACCCGGGTCTCCCACTGCTGCTCGTTCTCCTTCCTCTCTCGAGCCTCTCCTCTCTGCTTCTCCTCCAGACTGTGTTTGGCTTCTGTCGCCGAGTCGATGTCCTTCAGCTTCAGGTTCAGAGTCACGTCTCTCCACAATCTGGGGATTCAAAGAGAGGGGGGGGGATAAGATAAGAGGGTGTTTCAATGAGTCTGGATCTCAGGTATACTCTAGTTCAGTGGTTCCCAAACTGTGTGCTGCGGCACACTGGTGTGCCGTGAGGCAAGTCCGGGTGTGCCGTGGGATTTTGTGACAACCATACGTTATTATTGCAATATACAACTACACAAAAATAATTATTTTTTAATTTACTATATCAGTACTTTGTATGCACTCATTTCATAATACAGAGGCAAACTCTATACCTAAAAACAATTATTTAAAAAAAAAATCCTCACAGAACCCCATATTTCGCTGTTAACGCAGTTGCAGGTGGGAATTATAAGACCGTGACACATCGAAGGCTGAAGGACAACACTAAAACAGAGAAACACGCAAGAGGGAAAATGGAGCGCTTTCTTGTGCCACCAGCCAGGGGCGGACTGGCCATCGGGACGTTCGGGACAAATCCCGATGGGCCGGTACTGAAGTGGGTCGGTCGGACGATGTGGGCCGCTCGGATAAGTCACTAGCACCCCCCCCCCGTCGACAATTTCCTCGCGGTATTTACTTGCGGCACCGAGGTGGGCCGCTCGGATAACTCACGACCACCAAAGCCTGATCCTCCACAATTTTTTATTTTGTGACCTGACTGGTTTAAATGAGTGTGTTGCTGCTTTGATGAAGCCTAATTTGATAAAGTTTCAAATTAATTTCTGAAATATTTCGTTAATAAATATTTCATGAGTAATAGAATAGAATAGAATAGGGAGGGATGAAACCCTCTAATGGTCACACATGCAGAGCACACAGCGCACACACAGTGACATTTGTTCTCTGCATTTAACCCATTCTAGTACCAGGAGTCTAGTACTAGGAGCAGTGGGCAGCTATTGTACAGCGCCCGGGGAGCAATGGGGGTGAGGGGGGTGTCTGGTGCCTTGCTCAAGGGCACCACGGCAGGGCAGGAGGTGAACTGAGACCTCTCCAAGTAGCAGTCCACACTCCATATTTTAGGTCTGGTCGGGGACTTGAACCGGCGACCCTACAGCTCACAGTCCAAGCCCCTACTGACTGAGCCACTGCCGGATATGGATATGGATATGGATATGGATATGCCGAATATAGTTGTCTTTGTCACATTTTATTTGGCATTATTAAATAATTATGCACATTTACAGATATTTTACATGATATGAGTGCTAACACGTGTTATAAGGGCTATTTTGCACAATAGATGTGCCTTGAGATTTTTACTTGTCCTTTGGTGTGCCTTGGGCACAAAAAGTTTGGGAACCACTGCTCTAGTTACCAGCTCATAGAGTCATGCTGTGAATCCTGGACATGTTGAGGACCCCAAAGTGTTATGATAGAAATGTTTAGTAGGGTCTCCAGCACATAGAAACTACCGGATCCTAACTTGTGTATGTTGGGCTGTTTGCACAATTAGCATCAATTGGGTTGATTAGCAATAATGCAGACAATAGTTAAAAAAAAATTGCAGATTTTTACAATTTTGGAGTGTTTTTGAGGATGCCGAGTCAATTTCAGGATCATAAATAGCAGTTTTAACCAGAAAGTGACCATATTTCTACTCCAGATGGACTGATTCTGATTAATTTTGGGTCGATTTGAACGTTTTAGGGGACTCAAAACTGTCATTTTTGATCCTGAAAATGTCAGAAATGGATTCAGCATCCTCAATAACCTCAAAAACACACACCAAAAATGTCAAAATCAGCCATTTCTTAACTATTGTCCACATGCTATAATGCTAATCAACCTTATGCTAATGTCCCAACATATGCAGGTTAGCATCCGGCAGTTTCTATGTGCTGCAGACCCTACTCTACATGTCTATCATGACACTTTGGGGTCTCAACATCTCCAGGTTCACTAAAAGCTGGAAACTAGACTAGCATGTATTTATTATATAGTTTATATTCAGATCAGTATTTCTCACCGTCGGGACTCGTACTCCAGCTGGTCCTCCGCCTTCCTCACTTTCTTCTTGATGATGCCGATGTTCCTCGTGTCAATGAACACTGTGTTCTCCTGCAAACACCAAACACATGCGTTCAATATCTCATTCATTGATAATCCCTAAATTGATCAACTTGTATTTAGACTAAACATTACTTTTAGTAATTTTTCTACGTCTAGTTTTAAGGAACTGAAGTTAAGCTGACCAACATATTTCATCATAGTTACCCTTCAGAAAATGAACAAAGGCACTTCAAATGTGAAATATACCCTCCACCCCTCGAATGTGAGGAATGGATCAAATAAGTGATAAATAAAGACTCACTCCAGTCGCCCACTTGGCGTACATCACTCCGTTCCACTCTCCTTCGATGGAGCAGAAGGACTTCTTATCGTTGGGTGAACTGCCGGAGAAACACAACAGTATATTAGAATAAAACCTTTATGCAGAATATGTTTCCGCAGACGCTTCACTCTTTAGACCCGTTTGTTTACTGGATTTGTTAGGAACCAGTCGAGTAAGGTTTTCTCCCATCTCCCAAAAGTTAACATCTTACAGTTAGCGGCTAGATGTTGACTTGGCTAGCATTCGACAAACACCCCGTGATTAATGTTTATCTACTGGTATTTGTTGGGAACTCATACAAGTTTCTCCCATCTCCTAAAAGTTAAAGTGGACCTATCATGCTATATTTGAATAATATAGTGTAGGACCATACCTATATAAGGCATATTTATACTTTTTTTTTTTTCAAAATACCAAACAGATCATGCATTTTAGCCATGCCTCATTTTGCTCAATTTGACAATTTCTACCTCTGTTTTTGCAAGGGCTGATTCAGTGAGAACAGCACCACCTACAGGCCTGGCATATGTACTACAGCGTCTCCAGCGCTTTCGAACGGCAATGGCCGTGGCTGTCTCCTCCTGATTGGTGGAGTTGGCCCAATAGCCGTAGCGCCACCGTCCTGACGTCAGGACAGTGTTCAAATCTGGATCAGTTTTGATCAGATCCGTTGCAGCCCCTTTTTAGAGATTTGGGTATGGAGGAAAATAGAGAGGGTTGTGTTTTCTGACACTTGGTGAGTTCCCTGGAACACCGGGGACACATATTCATGTAGAAAAGACGTACAACAGTGCATTTTGCATGATAGGTCCCCTTTAAGTCTATCAGTTAGCTGCTAAAAGCTAACTACCAAACTCCCCCTGTTCTCCTCCCGGTGCCCAGCAGACATGTTGTAGTCGTATGTTTTCTGTGTATTCAGGTGTGGTAAAAAGATGAATCAAAGAAGTGCCACAGATGTATAATGAAAGTATAACGAACAGACGCTAATGCAGCTCAGACAGTATGGAGCGGTGTCACAGTGATGACTGTACTAAGCCCAGAGCGTCCCTTCCTGTCTCAGTGTAATCAGTCTTTTATCGAGCAGTGTTTCCTCTCACAAGATCTCTGCGGTGATGCGGTGCTTCTTCCCCCCGTAGAACGGCTTGGTGTGGAACACGATGTTGGCGCTGAAGCCCGACTTGGAGCAGGAGATGTTGCACTCTCCCCCGAGCTCCACCCAGGGAACCGTGAGGATCGACCTGAGAGAGAGCAGGGGATAACATGTTATTATTTTTGATTGTATTTTTGATTATATTCTATATTTATTTTAATGTACTTTTTTTGTATTTAATTTGATCTTATTATATTTTGTACATGCTGCTGTGACGAACCAATTTCCTAATTTAGGATCAATAAAGCATATCTCATCCTCTCCATCACGTACCTGCCATAACCGTTGGGGAAGGTGAGGATGTAATGTTCGTCATGCTCCAAACACGACACACAGCCTGAAACACACACACACACACACACACACACACAATTATAACAATAACAAAGACAGTAAGGTGTGTACATGTAATCCATTAAAGGGGACCTATCATGCAAAATGCACTTGTGTACGTCTTTTCTACATGAATATGTGTCCCCGGTGTTCCAGGGAACTCACCAAGTGTCAGAAAACACAACCCTCTCTATTTTCCTCCATACCCAAATCTCTAAAAAAGGGGCTGCAACGGATCTGATAAAAACTGATCCAGATTTGAACACTGTCCTGACGTCAGGACGGTGGCGCTACGGCTATTGGGCCAACTCCACCAATCAGGAGGAGACAGCCACGGCCATTGCCGTTCGAAAGCGCTGGAGACGCTGTAGTACATATGCCAGGCCTGTAGGTGGTGCTGTTCTCACTGAATCTGCCCTTGCTAAAACAGAGCTAGAAATTGTCAAATTGAGCAAAATGAGGCATGGCTAAAATGCATGATCTGTTTGGTATTTTGAAAAAAAAAAAGTATAAATATGCCTTATATAGGTATGGCCCTACACTATATTATTCAAATATAGCATGATAGGTCCACTTTAATGTAGACTGGGTGTATCAAAGTACCTTGCCCGATGTTGTGCACTCCTATAGACATCCCCAGGAACTTGGACTTGGTCCAGATGTGAGCGTTGAACTGGATCTTTCTGTTTAGACACTCTGCGTAGAATGCAGAGACTGCAGAGAGACAGAGGACACTCTTTCTATATTACATTATCATACATTTAACTCACACTTTATACACAGCTACGTGAGTGAGTGCAGAAAACAAGACGTTATTAGAATATGATAATTACATTATTATATATTTTGGAGGTTATTTGGAATCTCTTATATGCTCTGTGTGTTTCTGGTCATTTGGTTTTGTTGTTTTAACTTATATATTAATAATAACATATATAGCGCTTCAAGAAACCCAAGGAATGTGGTTACAAAAATGTGGAGGAGAAAGTTAACAGTTTTACTACACTCTGCTACTTTTACTTTTACTCAAGTACAAGATCTGAGTACTTCTACTTTTACTCAAGTACAAGATCTGAGTACTTCTACTTTTACTCAAGTACAAGATCTGAGTACTTCTACTTTTACTAAAGAACAAGATCTGAGTACTTCTACTTTTACTCAAGTACAAGATCTGAGTACTTCTACTTTTACTAAAGAACAAGATCTGAGTACTTCTACTTTTACTCAAGTACATGATCTGAGTACTTCTACTTTTACTCAAATACAAGATCTGAGTACTTCTCCTTTTACTTAAGACCAACATCTGAGTACTTCTCCCTCCTCTAAGTGTTAGTGAATATAAATGACTGATATAGGGGTCAGTACTCACTGGGGGGGTGGTGAGAGACCTGCTCTGCCACAAAACACACACTGTTGGTGGAAGACCACGGCACAGGACCCTCGGACACCGTCTCCTGCTGAACGACAGAGTGCAGACGGTAAATATACACAGGAAACATGAAAAGCTGATACTGTAGTGACTGCTGTTAAAGTGATGTGTAGAAGCTGTGTGACGCGTTCGAAGACCCTTTACTGACGGTTAAGCTGTGGAAATGAAGAAGGACCTGTTCCCAGATCAATCAAAAACATGAAAGATAAGGATACAAATCATGAGGGTCATACATCGCAATATGAATCTAATAAAAACAATCTGCTTTTTTAATTAAACCAATTTATTTTTAGTCAAATAAACCATTTCCTTGCCCACTGCCCTTTACCAACAAGCTGAGAATATTATATATACATACACTCAATCAATGTTTATTTATATAGCCCAATATCACAAATGTTACGTTTGTCTCAGTGGACTTCACAGTTTGTACAGAATATCAGTATGACAATACGACACCCTCTGTCCTTAGACCCTCTGTCCTTAGACCCTCTGTCCTTAGACCCTCTGTCCTTAGACCCTCACATCGTACAAGGAAACACTTCCAGAGAAAACCCCAGAGTTTAAAGGAACATGGGAGAAACCTCAGGGAGAGCAACAGAGGAGGGATCCCTCTCCCAGGACGGACAGACGTGCAATAGATGCCGTGTGTAAATCAAAGAGATAATACATTTTACAGCATAGGTAGACCAAATGTTTGGAAATGCATGTGTGTATAATAATAAGATGAATCCACGAGGACGTCAACAATCCTGTGGGAGCCATCAGGGAAGTAAGTAAGTAATACACCTGAAAACTACTATCTTTAAAGCATCAACTCAAATTTAGGCCCCATTTCGGATTGATAAAAAATTAAAGACAACGTTCCCGCCCAAAAGATACAGCTCTTATAATGTAATGTATACATACCATTTATTATAATAATAATAATAAATGGTATGTATGGTGCACTTTTTAAGGTACTCAAATAAAGCGTTGTTATATTTATTAAACACAACACACTTAGATGGCGCCGTGCGTTTGGCTCCTCTCCAACTCTGCCTTTTTATCGTATTATTTCAGTGTTTGTTTACATTTGGTTGAGTGCTTTTCATTTGTATTCTCTTGCACTATTTTATCTTTTGTATTTCCTATACATATGTTGCACTGTTGACTTAAGTGTTTCATACCTTCACTGTAGCTGCTGCACAAAAGACAATAAAGCCTTGACTCTTGACTCACTACATAATGCATTGTTTATTTAAACCACATGGCAGTACCCTCTCTGCCCACTAGAGGGTGCTGATGACCCCCACACACAGTCTGCAGTATTTAAGGACCCTCAGAGTGTGTCTCACCGTGGGCGGGGGGGGCTCCTCTGTCTCCGTGGGCAGGTCCCAGTGGCAGTAGAACACCTCTCCCAGGATGGGGTTGTAGGGCTTCTTGGCCACGGAGCCTTTCCTCCCCGCGTGGAAAGCAGACATGTACCACTTCACCACCTGCACCATGCGCTCCCTGGCCTCCTCCTGCTCCGCGATGCTGGAGGAACCACAGAGGAGGGTCAATCATACACATGTTGGATATATATTAAAGGTCCCCTATCATACTGTTCTTCATCAATATATCACAGGTCTCAGATATATACAGAACCTGTCTCTGATTGGCTGAAACACCAAACAGATCATTGCAGCATTACCCATAATCCCCTCTGTTTCAGCCCTGTTTCCAAAGTGCTGATTCTCTGTCTGTTACTTTAGATGAAAATAAGGAGCCCCTCCCCACGCCCCTCTGAGAGACATTTGGTTAAAAAGAACTCAATGGTGCTCTAGGAGGAGATTCAGGTGATAAGGGGGGGGGGGGGGGGGGGGGTACCTTGGTTGCTGATTGGCTAATGGTTTACACAAGACAAAACAGCGTTATGACATCATCAAGTGGCCAAAATCTGATCAGCTCATTTTCAGACAGGTTTTTATAGAATGGATCAAAAAGAGAGAGAATCTTTGTTCCTGAAACTTTCAGAGTCTCTTTCCACAGAGGGGACACATGTTGATGAAGAAGAGACATGAAGAAGAGGGGACACATATTGATGAAGAAGAGACATGAAGAAGAGGGGACACATGTTGATGAAGAAGAGACATGAAGAAGAGGGGACTCATGTTTGATGAAGAAGAGACATGAAGAAGAGGGGACACATGGTGATGAAGAAGAGACATGAAGAGAGGGGGGACACTGGTGATGTAGAAGAGACATGAAGAAGATGGGGACACATGGTTGATGTAGAAGAGACATGAAGAAGAGGGGACACATGTTGATGTAGAAGAACATGAGGAAGAGGGGACACATGTTGATGTAGAAGAGACATGAAGAAGAGGGGACACATGTTGATGTAGAAGAGACATGAAGAAGAGGGGACACATGGTGATGTAGAAGAGACATGAAGAAGAGGGGACACATGTTGATGTAGAAAGAGACATGAAGAAGAGGGGGACACATGTTGATGTAGAAGAGACATGAAGAAGAGGGGACACATGTTGATGTAGAAGAGACATGAAGAAGAGGGGACACATGTTGATGTAGAAGAGACATGAGAAGAGAGGGGACACATGTTTGATGTAGAAGAGACATGAAGAAGAGGGGACACATGTGATGTAAGAAGAGACATGAAGAAGAGGGGGACACATGTTGATGATGTATAAAAGAGGACATTGAAGAAGAAGGGGACACATGTTGATGTAGAAGAGACATGAAGAAGAGGGGACACATGTTGATGACCATGAAGAAGAGGGGACACATGTTGATGTAGAAGAGACATGAAGAAGAGGGGACACATGTTGATGAAGAAGAGACATGAAGAAGAGGGGACACATGTTGATGTAGAAGAGACATGAAGAAGAGGGGGACACATGTTGATGTAGAAGACATGAAGAAGAGGGGACACATGTTGATGTAGAAGAGACATGAAGAAGAGGAGGACACATGTTGATGTAGAAGAGACATGAAGAAGAGGGGACACATGTTGAGTAGAAGACATGAAGAAGAGGGACACATGTTGAGAAGAGACATGAAGAGAGAGGGGACACATGTGATGTAGAAGAGACATGAAGAAGAGGGGACACATGTTGATGTAGAAGAGACATGAAGAAGAGGGGGACACATGTTGATGTAGAAGAGACATGAAGAAGAGGGGACACATGTTGATGTAGAAGAGACATGAAGACAGAGGGGACACATGTTGATGTAGAAGAGACATGAAGAAGAGGGGACACATGTTGATGTAGAAGAGACATGAAGAAGAGGGGACACATGTTGATGAAGAAGAGACATGAAGAAGTGGATTTTGCGTGAATAGGTGAGCTTTAATGCACATGTTGGATATATATTGATATACTAACTAAACAGGCTGCTGTCACACTACTTTGTACATGCTACACTTGTTTTTTAAATACTGGTACTGGACGTGTATTTTGTAAACGGTCATTGTATGCATGCTCCTTAATCAACACTAAGCTATCTCTGGCTCTTTCCTCTTGGTGTAACGATGTGAAATGTCCCCTCTGTGTTCAACAATTAAAGGAATTCTGATTCTGAATTCTTGTGTGTTTTTATAAAAGCCTGCAGGAATGAGAGGGATGAGAGGGATGAGGATTACCTTACGAATAAGTCCGGGTGTGCGAAGAAGTCGGCGTACATTTCCAACAACGACCTCCTCTCCAGGATGAAGGTCGGCAGGACCACCTGAGAGAGGACAAGAGGAGACACTGTCAACGCTGCGTGGGAGTGAGGGTGAGGTGGTAGGGTGAGGTAGGGTGAGGTAGGGTGAGGTAGGGTGAGGTAGGGTGAGGTAGGGTGAGGTAGGGTGAGGTAGGATGGTGAGGTGAGTTAGGGTGAGGTAGGGTAGGT